CGACCGAGAAATAGAGTAGCACTGCCATGAAAGCCACCCCGGCATCTAGAGCTGCTGAAAGAATGTAATTGTACCTTTGCCACCACTGCTTCCTATAACGGAAGACAAAAAAGTTGAAAATTGTTCCAACAATAATCCAGGCGTTGTAATTCAATGGTGTTGCTGCTGGCATGGCACCTGTCGCCCCGAGAAGGATCGGAAGGTTAATGAGAGGAATCCAAGATTGTTTTGGGAATGCCTTGTGTAAGAACCAAACTAGGATAGGTCCAATTCCACCCATAAGAAAGAACCAATTCATGGCACTATAATTTCCAAGACTTCCAAAAATTCTTTTCGGTCCAACCAATCCCCATATTACTGATGCATCAAAGAAGACCCTATCTCCAGGGCATGTCCATGGACTGTCTGCTGGAAGGAGGTCGTCCTGGCATATATGCTCGATGGAGTTGAGCTGCCACCAAGCAACAGCAATGTTGATAGTTCCCGCAATAATTGTTCCAACGAACTGCCATTTTAGCATCGACATAATAAACAAAGACAGTGAGTATATAAAGATGTTAAAACTTTCAAAGGTAGTTAAAACAGTCGAAAAAGAATAAGAGCAAAAAGGTAAAGTTTATATTGGTATACAATTACTTAACAAAATGAGTCGATTGAGATGTTTTCATAGGCATACCTATTTTGTTTCAATAATTTTCTTTTGTCCAAAACTTAAATTTGCCACCTTGTTCTGGAAATCAACTGCAAAACAATTACCTGAACTATGAACATTGATCTTGGAGGGATCTTCATGTAGTGACCAAGTTTGAAGTCGCTGAGGAAAGAGACAGCCTGGGCCATGCTCATGTAGCCATAGGTTTTGAAGCACACATTAGCGATTGGTCTTCCCGGGTAAATAATACCCATAACATACTCTGTGATTATGTTCAAGCCTGGTGTCTGGAAATAAAACAAATAGAGCTTAGCAGGGACGGAAACAAATTGTATAAAAGATGCCAAAAGTTTTCGATTAATTACCTGATTTGTCGTGGCAGTAATAATGCTGATTGGAAGTGTGAAGATAAAAGCGATGGCACTAGCAAAGATGAGTCCCCACCATGGCATCTGAACTTGCTTGTTCAAGGCGATGCAGAGTACTAACGAGATTGCCAGTGTCACTCCAAGCAATATATAAAACCACATCGAAGGTATGTCCTTGTATCTTCGCATAAGTCTTGTATGGATATCTTCTTTTTCCTTGTACGAAGCACGGTATCTTTCATAGATTTCTCTGCAAATTCCATGTTAACAACATATCGAGTTCTTAGAAATGTTCATATATGATTGTAGAAACTAAAATCTTGTTCATTATGCTGTAAAGCATGTTTTAGACTCTGTTGTTACCTTCCGTAGAAGCAGGTAACGTGTGTTAAAGTGGCGGCAATAGTAGCGAAACCAAAACCATATGTCAAGGCAAAGAACATGCTTAGATGTATCCGTCCTTGTTGTTCATAGCTTTTCAAATCTAACTCGAACCGTTCATTAACAATCGCTGATATATTATAAATCTGACCCTCAGCTGTGAACAAGTGCGAGGAGAAAATGGGGAATTTCCGAGCGCCATATAAGTCGACTCCCCAATAAGATATAGGAAGTACAATGTAAATGATCAGAAAATACCCTGCCAAGATATTGACAATGGCAAAGAAGGGACATATGAGTGGACTGAGCAAGAAAGATGCTACAGCAGACCAATCTAATGTTAAGGCTCCGACTCCAAGGCCTCGCATGCCCGATCCAAGCTGTTGGGCTGAAACAGACTTGGAGAAAGCCCAGCAGATCCATGAGATGCTTGTGACAGTTGGGAACAGGAATCCCGGTACCACGTACCAAGAAAAGCTGCAAATTAGTGCAATGAGGAAAAACTTCGCTCTTGACATTCGCTGCTCGTCTTTTTCGTGCAACGCTCTGCAGTGGTAACACTTGAATTCTCAGTACAGAGCATGTTTAGATAATAAGCTTTAAAATGTTGGTAAATGTCTACTGAAAGTATATGTCCATTATTGTCGATATGTTGTCTGTCTATACGAGTCAAGCCAATTTACAGAAAGATAATAAAGCTTAAATCCAAATTCCAATCCATTTCATAAAAGTTTACACCAAGTGTCTTAATAACTAATAAGCCAACGAGATGCATTCTGATAAATGTATTTTTGCACACTTATTTAATACATAAATAAGCTTAAATATTGATTAAATGAGCGAATTTCTACTCACAATTATGTAATTATTGCTTTTTGAGAAGTGTAGTTTCTACATTTATTCGATGCCCTAAGTGATGATATTTTATTGTCATTTGGATAAAACACTACCTAATTTATGTTCTATTGCATTTTGTAGGTAAAAAATTATGTTTAATGAAAAATTGGAGAAAAGAATACAAAGTTGGCAAAATCCAAAATACGAAAACTAAATTGGCTATTGGATGCAAAGTTTGGAGATCAAATCTCATATTTTGAAAAGTGAAGGACTTGAAGGATAATATAACATTAATGTCTTTGAATTGGAGGCCAAAAATAAACATATATATTATATTATATACATACGCAGCAGGAAGAGGAGAGAACATATATATATACACAATATATACACAAGAAACAGGACAACAGGTAGAGANTTGCACGGGCAATAAACTAGTATACTATATAAGTGGCTATGAAACGGCATTTTAACAGAAATTGTTGTTTCACTGTTAACTTTAACAGATTCCGTGCAGCAGCAATTAAGCCATCTTTGTGCCCGTTCTTCTTCTTCTTCTTCCGTTAAGTAGCAATTAAGGAAGGGCTTTGGGTATTTTTTTTGCAAGATCTAAACTCACAGAGCCGCGCCGCCAGCACCAGAACGTTCTCCGCCAACTTCCGATGTGGGATCAACTTTGGCTGTGTTACTGTGCAAGCAAGCAGGCTTCTTGTGTTACTGTGGGATCAATTGGGATTTCGCAAGAGATTGTCTCCAATAAGAGGTTCTCTCCTCACACAATTCACAATGGAAACGAAAAGGGCAAGAGTCGATGACTGAAGACCGCAAGAGCTGCAAGACGATTCGGCGACGGGCGAACTACGAAGTCGAAGGCCGAAGGCGAAGGGTAAGGGTCAAAGGGAGCAGAAGCATGGGACGCTCGATCTCGACTCGGTGACGGTGAGCACTTGGCTAACTTGCTTGGGTAATTTTTGTGTTGCACATTTGAAATTTGCTGATTACTTTTTTGGGGAATTTTTTATTATTAATTGGTTTGTTCTACCGGTGGATTACAGTTGCTGGCCATCACTTCGGTCCCTTTATGGGCTTGGTGCTTCAGGTTGATTCAAACTGGTGTGGCTTTTGATTTGGGTTTGGGTGTATTTCGGCCGTGGGGATGGATGAGGTTTCGTTTCAGGTGTGTTTGTCCATGGCTCCGGTCGACCGTTCGGAATCTTACCTCCTGGAATATGCCTCTCCTTCGTAAATGGGTTTCAATTTCAGTTCTTCATAAATGGGTTTCGTTTATTTTTCGATTTCAGTTTCACGTGTTGATTAATATGCCTCTCCTTCGTAAATGGGTTTCAATTTCAGTTCTTCATAAATGGGTTTGGTTTCATTTTCGATTTCAATTTCACCTGTTGACAGCAGTAGACTTGGATGTGCGTGTACTTGAAGATGGAAATGATGAAATGCTGCACATTCTGGATCCGAAACTTACAACGATCAAATTGTGGCTTTTGCGAGAATTAGTTCTCTGGAGAGTAATGAAAAGTTTGAAATTTTATCATCAGGAAAAATTATATAGATCAAATTTACTTGAAACACGAGTCAGAGTGGGAACAAATTATAAACATGTCAGATCATTCAGTACATGCCAAACATGGCTTAAGCCTTCTGGTGCATCCATAGGGGCGGTAATTTCAAAGCCATTTTCATTTATCTTTACCAACTTGTTAATGTGTACTTCTATGAGTTCTGTTGGCTGTAGCTTGAAAACTCCGTTCTCATTGGCTATTTCAATGTGTCTATATTGTTCTATTGTCTCCTTCTGCGAAAGTGTTTGATCTTGAACGTTTGTTTGCTCATTAGTCATTATTGTACAGTAGTTAGTTTAATTGCATTTATTGTGACTACAAATAATATTTTGTGACTAATTGTATTTTATTTATTCTGTCCCTTGGTCAGCTGAAAGATCTGTTAGATTCTTGAGATGGCGACTTTTGCCAGACCTGAGAATGCTTTGAAACGAGCTGAAGGTGAGTGATAATTGAACAGTAACAACTATTTCCTGGCATTTTCTCACAGCCAGAGTTGCCACAAAAAGAACTTTGAGCTGGCTATGTCTTGCATTTATCTGTTTATTGTTATAGAATATAAAACTATCCATTATTTCATTATGTTGAGTATGACTGTGTGAGCATTATGAGAGAGGCATTGAACGGCCATATAATTCTTCCTTCTGAAATGGTGGATTTAAATTTCTACACTGCCATCCATTAGACTTTGGCTAGGCAAGATGAAACATTGGTAATGGCCTTTGGTCCCCTTCCAAAATAATCATCGAGGTTGTCCAGTAAAGTATGCACTGTGTACTTGTCAAGACTTTCTCATATATCGTGTTATCCCTCTTCTTCAACCGCATTACAAATGTATTCTAGAATATTCTATCTTCTTCTCTATAAATTAAGCACATGGAGAGATGAAATTCTCCTCCCCCCTCCTCCTTTTCTCTTTATCTTCTTCTGCTGTTCTTTTATTATTGTTTTTGTATATAATGTAGGTTGTCCCGCAGGCTGATAGAGTTTTATTCGACTAGAGGAACTACCTGAGGTATTCCTGTTAAAGCCATGTGCTTATGGTTTGAAATTTTATAACTTGTGAAGTTGAGTATGGAGTTTGATAGGACGAGATGATATGCTTTTTGATTACTAATAACACAGTCCTCTAATGAAATTTTTTTATCAGTTACTTTCAAGAAACTATGCTATATTTTACTTATATTCGTGTGAATGTGATGAGAAATTTCAAACTTTCGGATGGTTAAAGATGTTTGGTTTGGATGATAATAGAATTATAGAACCTCATAAGGTATAATTGATGATTTAGTGCATGAGCTGATAGTGTGTAGGCAAAGAACTTCTGCACTGTATCTCGCTTGAAGGCGAGATCAATATTCAACTGACGTTGAAAATTGAGGCAAAATCATGATGCAATTGGAGTCGAGACAAAGTAATACGAGAACATGGAATGGGGTTTTTTTTTAAATTTGCTGAACATAATTTTTCATGATTGCAAAATGCTTTGAATTTAAATTTTAATTTGACCCTTATTATATGCTAAATCTTTCACTGATGCTAAATATCTTTAATTAGCTTCAACATGGGAATAATTATAGTTATACATATAAAGAATATGTTTTATAAAAGTTTCTTTACCATTTTGTGTCCTACTTTTTTGAGAAGGTCATGCATATTATGTCGCATTTTAAGTTCTTGTTTCCATGGTACTTAGATTATCCTAACCGGGAAACATGTAAGATTATAAAATGTGGTGTGATGTTTGCATTCTCCTTTTTTATTGAGATCTTGATGAATAAATTGGGGTGGTGGGAAGTGTATTCTTAAACAAGAAGAATTTCGTTGAGAAAAGCTGATGTGACCATTTTAAATAAACATACGAAGGTCTACACATTCCTAATCTGGAAATTGGGGATTACTTTCATTCTTCCATTCTGTGTGTAGGGTAACACGAAGTATAGTAAAATGCTTTTATGTTGCTTGTGTTCTATTGTTCTATCAAATTTGTGTGTTGGAGCATCTGCAATTATTACGTAGAATGTGCAGAGACCAAAAATTGCCCGTGTTTGCATGCATTATTTCAGGCTCTCATGGTCCTATCTGAAAAATGGAATAATCTTAATGCAGAAATCAGCTGGTGGAGTTTTGCTACCTAAATCAGCAGTTGAATTTGCGCGTTACCTGATGGGAGAGATGAGTAAACAAGGACAATTGCTCCCATTCACATTTACATTTGGCATATCCTCATTCAGAAATACATGTGCTGACATCTATATCTTCTTTTTTCATGTTTTTTATATTAATTTGTTCTTTCTCAGGTACTTTCTATTGGTTCTGAGGTTGGGGAAATTGAGGCTGGAAAAAAGGTAGGATTTTCAGAAGTTCTGATATATGAACATTTTGATAACTCAACTTATTCAATCACTTCAAGCTACCATGTTTATTTTTTATAAGAAGGGTCAATTAAAATGTTTTGTTCTCCCCAAACACATGGAATTCGTCTTTTTCAGGTTCTTTTTTCAGACGTAAATGCTTACGAGGTACGTTCAGATGAACTATTATATTTCTTAAATGTGAATGTGCTACTGATTTTGAGTGCATCAAATTTGTTGACTATCTGAATCCTCTCATTTGTATCTGGTGCATGCTATAGACTCCCAATGTTA